ACGTGTTTACTGTGCAGCAGTTCGTTCCGTCCTACTTTATGGCAGTGAAACATGGCCGGTATGAGTAGAGGATATCCGTAGGTTACTAGTATTTGATCATAGGTGTCTTCGAAACATTGCTCGTATATCATGGGACCATCGAGTAAGTAACACAGTTGTTAGGAAACGGGTACTAGGTAAGGATGGCAAATCAATTGACGAAGTAGTGAAACTTCATCAGTTGAGATGGCTGGGACACGTGTTACGTATGCCCTACGACCGACTGCCTCGACGTGCTATGTTCAGTGGTATAGGAGTAGGTTGGAAGAAAGCTAGGGGCGGCCAAACCAAAACATGGCACAAGTCCATGAAGTCACTGACAAGTGGACTGGGCCATGTTGATAGGTGTAGACTACCTGGTTGGGGACTGCGAGATGATAGCAACCGATGGTTAGAGACCTTGAATGACATGGCTCAAAATCGTTTGCAATGGCGCAGGTGCATCCACTCTCTGTGTTCTCCCAAACTCTAATCTTCTGAATTCTTCATGTCCCTTTTTTCCTCCTTCCAAATTTATTTCACTGGATTATAGTCCTTGAATAACATCTCCAAACCCTAATCTTCCCGATTACTGCTTATACTCTTATTACCTCTATCACTACGGGATTTGAATCGACAAGTGCATCTCTGTGCTAATGTGGTGTGGCAACTCGAACTGATGTACGTACGTACGAAGTTCTACGTTGTTACTGACTGACGATTAAGGTAGTTATTAGGTCAAATCTTCGGCATTATCTCAGCTTTTAAATTGAAAATAGGCATATTGGACTATAATGCTAAACATTATACATGATATTTTTGAAATTCTACTTGGTTATACAAAAGAGTCGACTACACGTAAAAGTGACTCAGTGAAGTTTACCGATTTCCTCTGCTTTTGCGTCAACCATTGTCTAATCTAAGTAGACAGCTGATGTGAATCATAGGATATTTCGAGATATATCCTTACTGCTAACCTAACAGTATCATCACTACACTTGATACTTTCGTATATGAGTACTGAAGTTTCCTTCTGTTGTTATATATCACTTATGATTTTTATTTTCAGTCATACCTGAAATCAAGTCGGGCATGGTATTTTTTACATTTTGTTTTCTGCTTGCTCCTGTTCTGCACTCTCTCCTATCGAGCGTAAGCACGGACTCTATATACGCCATGTGTACTTTTTTTCTTCTTGTGTATTGGACATGTTTTGATTATAAGACTCATTGGAAAGGTCATCCTCGAAAGCCTGGGTCGAATACTATTTCTCTGAGTTCTGCTTTGTTAGCTGCTCTCTGCTTGGCTAGTCGTTTACCTGACCCTTATCATACTTTCGCATTGCTTTCCACTGCCGTCACTTTACTAGCATTATGGCCAGCATTAACAAGAAGGTTTCGCGTAAGTACAGCTACCTTTGTTTCAAATGATTGCTAATGTTTATATTGTATATTTTCAATGTTTTTCATTTCAATGCAAATGTTGATAGGTTAAGCAGATGAAACAGTGTGTGGAGCATTGGACAGCATAGACTAATCCAAATTACTTCTATTATTGATTTCACAGGTAAATAAACTTTAGGGTAACCGATCAGTCTGTTCTGGCATATGTCCGGTTCACCTCAATATTGCCGTTGAGTCATAAGCATTATAAGCAGATTTACAAGGTATCTAGATGGATAATGCGGTGGCGTTTGAAGTGAATTGTGCTGGGTTCAAGTCCCGAGGTGAACATCAACTCTGATGCAGGTACATCCAACTGACGAGCTCCAAGTGTGGAGAAACACGCTCTAGATTGCACTGCTGACTACCATCTAACTCTGCTGATAATTTTAACCTATATTTTTTAAAATTTTGCATCAACAATTCCTATAGTCTGAAATATCTAGTGTTTACACTTGTGTAAACGAATAAAACTAATAACCGATTTGGTGGGCTAATATCTCTTAGCCTTATTTGACCATCCTTACAGTCATCACTTCCTAATCTTGTTGCTCCCTTTTTTAGACTTCCAGAATGTCATACTAACACATGATTCGTTCACTGCAGTCAGTACCAAACGACTGAACGATTTATCCGGAATTTTATTATTAAATTAAATAATTTTATCCAGTAGACCCACCACATGATTGGTCCTCCAAAGAAACCTTTTAATCAAATAGGCAGTATACGCTTAATTATTTTTACCCTTAAACGCTGCGCTTCGTATTCATAGAACAGAGCACAGCCAGTCACTGGACAGTATAATTTTCCTTTCATTAGCAAGAGAATATCTAGCGGGTAGCACAACTACGGTATGTTAGTGAACACCAAAGGTCTCTGTATGCAGATTTCGCGCACAATAAGTCTGCTATAACTGGCTCATAAATTCGTCCACTTCATTCTCCACTCTAAAACTGGCATCAGCGCAAAGTGGTGGATAATGTAAATGTGGCATTACTCAATTGCTAACGCCATAGTTAATATTTTCACATCTTACCCCGATATTCGGAAAGCCATATTTTTCACGATAGTCTTGTAGAATTATGTTGTCTGTAGGCCCCAATGTGTTTTATAAAAGCATCTATTCATCTGTGTGATCATGACTGAAGCGTCTTTAGTAGCAAGGTACGCACCCTCAGAATTCCATAAGGTTTCCTATTTGACATAGTGAATCCCAATTTTCAAACCAAGGATTACAGTCGTATGGGATCGGTAAGTATGGTTGTAGTGGCTTTGCCTCGTTTATCAATCACCTATGCAACTGTTATTATATAAATCTCAACGGTGTTTGAAATCAGAAGGCAATGAGAAGCGGTAACTACAGTTTATTAGCGGATAGCACGGATCACAAACCTATAAGCACACTGAGCGAATTTGTTTATGCGAGCAAATACAGAGGCAAATTTATAGTCAAATCCAATAGGGCACAGCTAGGTAAGGCGAAGGCTAATAATGTAATCTGAGTACATATATACGTGGGGAAAGAGAATGAATCATCGAGTGATATGTAAGCGATCAACATTTAAGCTAGAAAGAGATATGTGTGTAGGCTGTCATGTGATCAAGCGTACACGTTTATACAGATAAGATAGTGATCACAATAGTAGAAAGAAATATGCGAATTGTTACTGTTCGAATACCATTGTCTGTTGAGTTAATAAAAGGGCTTAAACAAAATTAATCATAATCGAGATTGATTGTAAGAGTTGCTATATGGTTTTGTTGTATAGTCTATCAAAAATAATTTCGACATATCCCAGTGTAGGGACACAGCTTTCAATGTTTTCGAAATCCAGTAAATTAGGAGAATTTAAGAGCATTTTTCGTGTAGTGAGTTTAGTTAGAGCTGTAGTTTTAGTTTAACTTAATGAAGTTTGTGTACAAATATTAATACGTATAGTACAATAGACAGTTGCATAACCGAATCAAAACAGTGAAGGTCCAAAACGTTGTCTCACGCGTTTTTATGTGAAGCAAATTGTGTACATCGTTTAAGTATTAGAAAATCTGTACAAATTTGTTCATACTGCAGTAGAATAAGTTTCTTAGCGCTGACATGTAAGAAGACTATAAATCCTAGATTGAGAAAGCCACTTAATCGTCCTGTTTCAATAATTCTGCTTAACAACAGGTACGACGTGGTAGACGAAGAATTACTCATACTACAAATACTAAAATGAAAATAATCGAAGTGTTTGACTAACATTGTTAAAAGTTTGGATACTATTATGTCTAGAACTTAGATTCTTTGATATACCACGTACAACTTGAGCACTCGAACGCTAGAACCCTCCAAGCTGCAAATGAAAAGACGAGTGAGAAGAATGCTATTCCAAAGTGTCAAATATAGTACAAAACTCCCAGGTATTTATAGTTTTTAGTGAAGGCGAAATCATCATTATAGTTATCCAATCAGTGAACAGTGGTTTTTATTATTTGTCTAATAGGGAAGGTACACGCAGAGATCCTGGAATGTTCTTCCAAAGGATGACTGGATGAAATGTCTTCGGCACTTTCTGAGCTTCCTCGAGTTCACCCATGGGTCAACCTCACAGTTACTCAACTCAATATTAGGCAAATCAATTTCATGTCTCAAAAGACAACGTCATTTATTATACAAAAAGCAGTATACAGGGCAATCAATTACATACATTTATTCCATAATTCATGTGACACCAACCTAAATGTAGTTTCTAATTCACTGAAGCTAATTAATCTACAAAATACATAAAGATAGCACAAAAAGACGTTCTCTAAAATACTTTTATATTGTTATTGACTTTTATTCGCATTTCAGAATAATGGAGGTGATGGAGCACAAATATGCTTAACCATATTATCTGGTTCTATAATTCTTCTGACTGCTTGGCCGATAGTTTACAGTGAAGTATCATTCGAATATAGATGCATCTTCCTTTGCGCACTCATAACATCTACTCTGTGTATTAATTTTGTTGGACCGTGCTACTTATTAAGAATGCAAAAAATTAAAAGGTTTGTGAGTCAATCAAATGTCGAATTCCAAGTTGCATTTTTCATTGTAACTTATTTTTCTTACAAGTTCTAAATACTCATAACTTGTTAAGCCGTTGCAAAATTCAGTATTTTAATCTTCTAGAGACTTTCCATGTCAAAACATGAGTTTTTTTCATCATATGATCCTGCACCAGTTACAAACAATCTATCATTTGACATCGGTTGAATAGAAACTTAGTAGTCTTTGGTAGAAAATGTCACGTCATTGTAGATGTTTGAGACCTTTATTGTGTACATGATGATTCTAGTACCATTAGTTTCCATAATGATGCTTGTGTGTGTTTAGGGTCGGTTTGTTTATATAAACAAGCTACTGTTTAAAATCAGTGCTCCATTAAAAACTGCACTGACACGAGCACAATAAACGATATAGACCCTGAAAAAAATTTAATATTGTGTGATCACAATCCCTCACAAATTTTCGATTTTGTTTCTTCCTAACAGGACTATCCATGGACCGTGGGATGAAGCTGTCATAGAATAAAATTTTGTATAGCGAGAACATTGTTTATTTAGTATATACATGATTACTTTTGTACAACTCTCAAAACCCCTTACTAAGAAGAAATTTAGCTACCTCTTCTTGAAATAACCCTTCAATTTTTATACAACGTGTTACTTCATCTACTTGGCAAAGAAACAACCCAGCTTCGCATTTCGGTTGAAGAAGCGTCCGGAGATCATCAGCCAGAGCCTGTAATATTGTAAAAAATGGTTGTCATTCTTTCATAAACATGTAAACAAAAGAAAGAATCCACTTCGATTCCCTAAGCTTATCACTGAATAAATGATTTATTACGTTTATAGTAAATGGGTTGACTTATTGATTTACTTCAAAAACCGTTTTTTCTTTAAACGATTGGATGCTAAGGAATTCATACAACTTGTTTTAACTATGTAATGTGATATTAGGTATCTGTGGCAAAACCTGAGCTATTTTATGTTGTCCTGAGTTAATGTAAAGATATCGTAGTTTTTTATTATCTATAATTTAAGAAGTGTGCAAGTAGATGTCCTTGTGATAACAAAACCCAAGTAAATTAGACCAATTTTTGTAAAGCGCTTGTAATGTTTAGTATGCTGGAGAATTCGTATATATTTTTTGAGGTGAATTCCTCTTAAAAACGTGCTGTAAAATATTCATTTTATTTAATAAGAAAATGTGAAATACCTTAGTCATACTCAATGTATAACCTTACACATATGGTCATCGGTTCAAGTTGTCATATTCTGTTAGCACAGCGAGATAAGATTATTTCAAGACAAATCCAGGAGTAGTGGTAGAAAAGATTGGGTATCGAGAAAAAGTCAAGGGGGTTTCAGGAAAAAAGGGAGTGAAGGCATTTGCGCATTGCAAACGATTCTGAGTAGTCACCTAAAATCTTTATCCATTGGTTACCACAACCACACAGGCCCCAACCAAGTGGTTTACACCTACTAACATGGCTGAGTCCACTGTCATTTCATTTTAATTGTGTGAGGGCTATGATACTACCCGGGTGCCCAGACCGAAGCAGATACTGCTGAGTCCATACGCCAACGATTTCATGGAATGGTGCTACCCTGCGTTTCTCCCAATCTACCCTTATACTAAACAACGTCGCCCATAGAGATAGACATTGGTTGGGCACATGTTCCAACTACCTCCGTAGATAAATATTCACCACATCAACCAATTTCCCATCTCGGCATTATCCACTCAGTTGTCCAAAAACACACAAACGATGCTTCGAAGGTCATATACTGGCAAACTACGAGTATCCGCTTAGTGACAGTGTTCCACACCAATGACGTAGAACAGAACGAACTGATAGACAATAAACTCATTCTCTGTTTGGTAGACGGATGTCACACCGACACCAAAAGTTAGCAAAAGTCAATCGACGCTTCTGAATCTGCACCGAGATTTCATCAGACACCAGCCCATCAGCATCGATGAGAATTTTAAGATAGGTGAGACGCACTTAATCACTTTACTTCCTATTACTAATCTAAGCGCTGGAATAGGTCAATCCTGAAGTAAAATTTTGCATTTGAAGGAAGAGGATCACACCCCAAACATCTTTGCCTTGTTGCTTAAGATGGTTCGAAGGTTCCATATTTTGTCAGCATTTTCACCAAACAGAAATATATCTGCAAATTCCAAGTGAAGTGAATCTTCTGATACAAAACCATCCCCTGAAAAGTTGGACGGTGAGAGCGTTATTTCCAAAAGAATGTCTATTACAATGTTAAATAAAAGTGGACAGCCCTGAAAAAACCACTTTAAATTGACAATTCTGATAAAAGTTCACCGTAAGCTCTGACTCAACCAATAGTGCTCGAGTAACAAACCTATTCAAGGGTAATATACTTTCGTAATACACCTTTCAATGACAGACTGCAATGCCATAATGCCTGCAGTCTACAGAATAAAGTCCTACCCTAAGGTTATAGGTTGATAGTCGTTTGTAATTTATAAGTTTACCACTTGGTCAAATAGAGAGTATAGTGCATAATAAGCATTTCACAATAACTCATGTATTTATTGAACTCTACTTTTATTACTTTGGAGTGTAGGCGTAACTTACTTGCATATCTCCATCAACATGCCTAATGACTGTCAGCTGTCGAGTCCCATGTGTATGTTCTTTTTTCTTTCTCTGTTTTTCTGTGTAATAAACAGGTAGCATGTGATTTTTCGACCTCCGGACAGAATAGGGTACATCCTTTGATAGTTCAGCTAGCAGAAAAAAGCATAAGAGGAAGTGTACAATATTTACCAATAAAATATAATGGAGGAAAAAACAATATCAATCCTAAAATCTATACCATTTAGCGTTTATCGCATATACTTCCTACAAGATGATTGATAAAAAAACTATGATGTGCTTTACATAAAACAAAATGATATTTCTGTCAGGAAGTGGTAAATCGGGTGATAAAGTTGTTAGATGATACGGTTTAAATGAAAGCACGATCATGTTTAGGTTGATTTTTTTCGAAGTAATCCTTAGAAACGGGAATACGATTTTGCTTCATGTTTGATATTGGCTCGCCAATGAACTGTAGGATCCATATGGCTTCATTTGAAGGATCCAGATGAACCAACGGATGCTAGCATGAACTACCAATCCTCGATGCTATCACAAACGGAAGGCCTTACTGGGGATCAATGAATGATACAGTATGGTCAGTCAGGATTGCGTGCATATGCATTCAAGCCTCTAAAGTAGGCATTACGTGTTGTCAACGTCCGGAAGGTCCACTAAACTACGCACAAATACAGACGTTTTAGTCACCAGTATTTGAATTTCTTATTTGTATTGCTATGACCGATCAAGGAGTCGGGCTCTTGTGACCCACTTAGCTGATGTCAGTCATCAGATTAAATTAGTTGATTGATTGATCTAAATCTCAACATCATAGAGCGGGGGATAAGTGGTTGCTACTACGAATTCTGTACGAATGACTCATCATCTAGCAGAAAATATCTGAACTTTTACAGCATACATTTATTAAAGTTAAAATACTTGGATGAAGTAGTTTCAAATAAAAAGCTGGTAAGTCCCGATAATATTTCCCGATTTCAAGGAACTGTGAAATATCAGTAATCATCACAAAAATTAATGTCTAGACTAAATATGTATATGATCAAGTGTAATCTAACATGGTATCAGTGCAATTGTTTCCTGACAACTCTTGAGGACGTATAGCTTTAAAACAATTAACATTATTAGGTTTTGGCAATCTCAAAATTGATTTAGACAGCTAGCTTATGTTTATGAATAAACGATCGTGGGACTGAAGAACTGCGATTGGGGATGGGTCGAATTATATAGCATGGAAAGTCCGATTCACAACTATATTCCAACGTCTGAAGATTTTAGATGGCACCTAGACGTAAACATATTTTAGGCACAATGCAAATCACGATGGCTTTTGTCACACTTGGTGGAAATCTGAGTAGTCATTTTTAACAGACATCATTTTGTAGTATCTTTTCACACTTCATCAATACGACAGAATTGATAATCAATAACTTATCAATGAATAAATGGAATTTATTTTGTTTTAGGTGTTTCAGCTGTTATTATGAACCTTGCAAAACATTTCCTATTAACTGACTGACACGTGATACCGCCTACTTATTTATGTAAATTTATGTCCATTACTCGACTTTAGTGGGCAGTAAAAATAATTCGAAAAACTATTGCTACGACAAAAAGAACTTGGAAATAATCATCTAGACTTTGAAATTCGTTGCAATCTGTTTTGTGAGAAGAATTAAGTTAAAGCATTAAAAATAAAGTAATGCTTGCATACGGATTGGGGGTATCCAGCCACTAGGAGTAGGAGCCACAATATTTTTAGGAAACGGGATTTTAGTGTTCTTCAAAATTTTTTCTACCCATACATATTCTGCTTGACTAATCTCATAATCCACTGGTTTTCTCTTCAGTAGATCATCATCAGTCAAAGAGTCGTCGACCCATGGATTTTCCAACGTCGGCCACCATTGAACTCTTACATGTCTATTGCAGACCTGAATTAATGACTCAAGTTTCTAAAAAACTAACTTGGATGGTTGAAGTATATTTGAACATTCTCCTGCACAAGATAATTCCAGGAAGCATATTTCCTGCTGGACGTTACGTATTGTACTTAAGTCCTGTGAGTAAAATACCCACCTGTAAGATACGTAATTATAGTATCAAAATGAATCAGCGTTAGAAGTTTGCTTAGTACCAAAAATACAAGTGACATCAAAAATTACAAATAACTTTACTAGCACAATGAGACAACATATGTATTATTTAACCTAAAGAATGGAATCACCATGATTTCTAAGATAGGTATGAATAACCCAAATTTTCAATCGCAGTTACTGTGAAAGGAGAAGGAAATCAATCAACAAAATAGACTACTTTTTGATAAACAAACGAGGACGAAGGTACTTGCCAAATGCATTTCGAACAATCTGACAACACCTACTACTTAATAAAGCATTGTCTATGAAAGAATAAAAGGTCAGCTGGACAAATTAGAAGGAGAACGAAGACAAAGATAATAATAAAGAACATAATATGAAAACCGCACTGCATAAATCAATACTACCAAGGTAGGGTAAGAGTAAGAACATATTGTTTTGAACACATGAAGTGAGTTTTAGTTTTCGCATGGTCAAGGCTACAGTCAATCTTAGCATAAGCACTGGAACACTTTTGTATAACATTATAAAGGCTGACTTGACATGACCTCTAAAACGGGTCTCAACAAAATATTTTGCAATGAACGAAGATGTTTTTTATTCTGTAACCTCCCGACCATTGCTGCTATCTTGACGTGGTGGTCGGGTTCGCCTATCGTGATGAACCAATCGGGCCATACCGGTCGGAACAATCGTCCGTCAAGGTCCTACTATGTTAAGCAGATCGGTTGAAGTGCGGTAAGACCAAAAGCAGCAAATTCAAGTTCCGAGGGAGAAGCTATACTGCTGACTGTACATAGGTGTGACGGCAGAAGAGTATTTCCTTAGGTAACCAGCATGACAGCGATGCTGCCTTCCTACAAAGGGTGGGGTTAGAAAACCCCGACCCTAGAAATGCACAGCTCGTTTTATCTCACGGATTTTCGTCTCCGGTGGTAAGGTCTCAACAAGTACGAATCTAACGCAAAAATCACCCACAAAAAAGTCGTGCGTGACCAGCTTCAAACAGCTGTCCCTTGGACACGCTCTCGGGTCACTAAGAGCAACTCCGACCCCATTTTTTTCATTTATCTCTAGAAGGACCTCCCCCACAGTGTGAGCAATCGGGAAGTGGCAACCGCTTTCATACCTCTAACAGCACTCAATATCACTGTGTTCAAAATCAATTCCCATTATTTCTCTTACATCGACTTTCAACACTAAAATTCCCCTTTTGGCTTCCTCTTCAAGTGTCTCCAGAACCAACGGTTCTAATGCGCAAAACACTGCCCCAGGTCAACTAGCACCTCACTCTAAACTATACTTTGGAGCCTCCACCGTGCGCACCCTAATTCAAGTCGAACAACAGGCCTTCTTGGCTAAGACCCTAGAATCTCGTACCATTGATGTATACTGTGTCTCTGAAACACATACAGGATCCTAGTATGACCATCCACTTGACCTCAACAAGCCGAAACGGGAGGCCGTCGGTAAACCCTCCAATTTTCTGGTGACCCAACGGTAAGTTCTTGTAGACTGACAGGTGTAGGCAAAGCACCAAGTATGAGAACAATCACTTTTAGAATTGATCCCCGTTAACAGTCGTCTATGTGCTGTTCGGCAAAACGGCTCCGTAAGGTTGCGAGAGAATAAAGAAACACGTCGTCGCATTTAACGTCGAAATCCAAGATCTGTTATCGTAAATATAATTGGTTCGTCCATAAATTATAGTTTCACCCAGCGTCAATTGAGAAACGCAAGGGACATCACTTTGGAGGTCTGTAAACATAATTAGGTAAAAAGCCGTAAACCATACTTTACACGTGAGCTCCCACCACTTTTCTTGCTTATTTATAGCATATGTGTTTTCTGATAAATTTGGGCACCGAAAATGATGTCCAACAAAAATGAACTGATATTACGAAATAACGAAGTGAGTCATTCAGTCAATAATTGGATAAACGAAAATAGTATTTGACGAAGGATATAGTTCATTAAAAAATACGCCCGAAAAAAATTTCGTTCAGTCAGGTGAGTTCATTTTAAAATTATTAAAAAACTACACCAGAACTGCCACTGGTTATTATTCTGAGCCATGTCTGACACCGCTTGAAGCCACCCAGTTGGACCGCGCATAAGACCTCGATCTGAAAGCCGTGGTGATTTGACGGATGCCACTCCCTTACAGCCTTCTTTCATACTCCGATGTCCTGTTATGAATAAATCACTTTACTTTTTCAACCAGTCTTACTATCGACAAGTGAAGCACGACCCAAAAGTCGCTGGGATGAAATTCGTATAACACGATTAAACTATCAAAGTCGGATTTTTACGCTTACGACATCAGTCGAATGATCGCCACACAATGGATATTTAGGCGAAATACCTCATTGTCTCATCATCCTGGTTGAAAAGAGTGAATCTCGGTGGCAACATCAGAGAATCGACATCGGAATTTTTAATCGGTGTCTCGCATATTTCCCAAAAGTTTGACTTCATTTACCTATTCTTTTTGCATGAGATTTTAGTGTTATGAGGGTTCAATATCTCACTACAAATCCAGCAATCAAAACAATGTCAAGTATCCCATTATGGTTTGAAAAACAGAAATTGCACTGCTGTAATTTTAATAAGAATTATGCATTATTATATCTGACGTATGAATATGAAACGGAATAATGTTTAACTCTTACGAATACTAGACGCAACGCACAGGTCGGATCTGGCGCTTTATGGTGTTTCAACCCTCAGTCATTAAAGATAAGAATGACATAACAAGTGACATGTGTTAAACTTTCCGATTCCCATCACTGTGAAGATTTAATACCCCTTCAAGTCGACGAAAAATGACAGCCCCAGTAATCTTCTTCATTAGTTTGACCACGGTCATCAGTCTGTTGTGACTCACTTTTATCACGAGAACACGACTGGTTTAATGAAAACATTCATTATTATAACCAACTTTACCAGTACTTGTTTAAACGTGCTTTTGTTTAACCGTGCTAATTATAGCCATTTTGTGCTTCCATTACCTTCCATCATTATTCCGCGGTTCTGAGCTTCGTTCGCACGTACTCCACTTTCCTGTTTCCGCTTGTACCATTTCTTGGCACGATCTTGCTATTCGTTCGATACCACGAGATCGCCAACGAAATAAATCTGGTTACGTTCAACCTACGCCTTCTGATTTCTTTGGCACGTGTTCCTTGGTAGCGGTGTTCATAGTCAATTGGGACTCGACGCCACGCTACAACTGGTGAGCCAAATTTTGGAACAGGCTCCAACCTCAGGTCTAAGCTTCCAAAGAAGTCAATTCGGCGAGTCTATAGTTTATCTATCCACGTCTGTCGTATATTTTCATTTTATCTTTTGATATATAATATACTCGACATGACGGATAGCGACAAGAATAGTATTAATGTCATAGACTCAGACGTACAGGCCATTCATTTTCGACCTGTATCATTCATTCCCTACGACCCAGAGGTTTGGTTTGCTGCATTAGAGTCTCAGTCTGAGACTCGTCGCATTACGAGCCAAAGGCAAAAGTACGCCTTTGCTCTCCAATCACTACCCGGGGACCATTTAGTAGCTGTACGTGAGGATTTCCTCAATTCCAACGTGCCTAATGTTCACGATCGCCTCAAAGAGTCAATTCTTCGACACTTCCTCCCATCGAGGGAGGAACGATTGACGAAATTGTTAGCACGTCACCCTCTGGGTGATGCTAAACCAAGCCACCACCTCACGCGCCTGCAATCTCTTGCAGGATCAACAGCATCTGACTCGGAGATAGTAAAGTAATTGTGGCTCGGGTCATTACCAGCCCACATCCAACGTACTGTGACGGCCCTGCTCGAGGACTCACCGCTAAACCATATAGTCCTCATAGCAGACAGAATTTTGGCGAGGACTAGTAACAGACACAGCTATGTAGTTGCTTCAACGGCACGTCCTAAAGTAGACATGGACGCCGGTCACTCTTCAGCTCATGGCGACAGGGAAGGGTGTATTCACACACGTCTTAGTTTTCGAGACCGTTGTAACGTACCCCAACCCTACGTCCCCCAAGCTCGCTCAAGTTCTCGCAAACCCGTCACCACTCGCCAAAAAAGGCATCTTCCAAGCCACGCGGAAAGGCGGCTTCGGAAGCGAGTGAAATTTGGTGCTCGTTCCACAGGTCCTTCGGGCCTGGCGCCCGCCGTTGTCGAGCACCATGATCATACGAGGCGGGAAACGCCAACGCTGGCGAGTTAAAGCGGCCTTACTCACCGGTCTTTCACCCTAGGTTGGTTGCTTATTCTATGTGCACGACACAGGAGCCCAAGTTTCTGTCGTATCACGGGGTTGCAGCAAGTCACAAGCCACAGTGCTTCGACTACGTGCTGCGAATGGCTCAGTCATTCCTACTTACGGTACATGACAACTCGCGGTCAACCTGGGCAACCGACGACGGTATCTGTGGGCGTTCATCATTGCTGATGTTCCTACAGCACTATGAATTGCTTGTCGATTCACGTAGGCTGCAGCTAATCGATACTTCGTCGAACAGGAAATTCATGGGCTGCAAAGCCCACATGAACATGTACCGAACCCTCAGTACTTTTTACTCGCGTGACGATAAATTCCATGCCTTATTCGAGAAATTCCCTGTACTCACTAAACCGCTCGAGGAGCTTCCATCGGTGACCAATCATGTGGTGCACCACATAGTCACCCGCGGACCGCCAGTCACGGCACGATCTCACGGATTTTGCACCGGACAAATTAGCTTTCGCTAAACGTGAGTTTGACAATTTACTAGCTACTGGTATTATTCGTCCTTCTCACAGTCCATAGGCCTCTCCTCTTCACATGGTGAGCAAAAAAGACGGCGTTAGTTGGAGACCATGAGGCGACTACCGAGCTCTAAACGTAGTTACGCGCTTTGATAGCTACCCCATTCCCCACATACACGACATCACGGCATCGCTCAAGGACATGACTATCTTTTCTAAGATCGATCTGGTACGAGCATATCATCAGATCCCAGCAGCTCTTGAAGATATCGAAAAAACTTGTATCACGACTCCTTTCGGTTTGTTTGAGTTCCTACGAATGCCATTTGGATTACGGAATGCTGCTCAAACTTTTCAAAGGTTTATCGATAGCATTGTACGAGACCTCGATTTTGTTCACGTCTATATTGATGACCTGCTAATAGCATCATCAAACGTAGATGAACATTATCAACATCTTACGCTATTATTCCAACGCCTTTCGGATAATGGAACAGTAGTTAACCCGGACAAGTGCGAGTTGGGTAAACGAGAACTAATATTTCTGGGTCACGTTATCAAGCAAGAGGGTATTCTACCTTGCGAGGACAAAGTGCAAGCAATAAAGGAGTACAATGTTCCGTCCTAACTCAAGGAACTGAAGGCTTTTCTCGGTTTGGTTAACTTCTACCATCGTCTCATCTTACACGCGGCAGAACAGTTACGACCACTAACCGACTTACTTCACGGCAACCCACGCAGATTAGAAATGAACGATTCTGTACGTACTGCATTCACAAAGATCAAAACGGCTCTTGCGCAAGCCACTCTTCTCGCCCATCCCGATCCATCAGCCACGCTTAGTATAGCGATTGATGCATCCGATGTTGCTATAGGAGCAGTCATGCAACAAAACATCTCCGTTAGTTGGCAACCCTTCGAGTTTTCCTCACGACGCCTGACTCCCACGGAGACGAGATATAGCGCTTTTGGTCGCGAGCTGCTAGCAGCCTACTGCGCCATCGAGCATTTACGGCACACAGAAGGTCGCAATTTCATTTTATTCACCGACCATAAGCCCTTAACGTATGCTTTGCATACCAAGTCTGACCGCTACTCACCCGAGAGTGCAGACATTTAGACTATATCTCCCAGTTCACGACAGACCTTCGCCACATCAAAGGCAAGTCGAACTGTGTTGCCGATGCTCTATCACGAATCTAAACGAATGCAGTTACTCTACCGGTGCTCGATCTTCCTGCTATGGCCGCCGCCCAAGAAAACTATCCCAGTTGTACAAAAGCACCACACTCTACGTCCCTCCAGTATCAGGAAGCACCCCTAGCCTTTGACTTCTGGCACCATCCTATGCGATACTCCTATCGGTCTTCCTCGACCCATCGTACCCTCTGCTTATCGCCGTCTCGTATTCGATGCCCTGCATGGGTCATCTCATCCAGGTATCGCAGCTACATTACGTCTCAACGCTGCACGATACGTCTGGCCGTCCATGAATAAAGATGGTCTTAGGTGGGCGAAGCAATGCTTACAATTTCAACGATCAAAAGTGAACAGGCACGTAGCCGCGCCCCTTGGTACATTCGCTACGCCTGATGCTCGCTTCGATCACGTTCATTTGTACATTGTAGGACCACTGCCACCATCGCACGGGTATGATCACATACTCACGTGCATCGACCGCTTCACCAGATAGCCTGAAGCTATACCCATCACGGCGGAGACAGTTGCTCACTGCTTTGTAGAATGATGGATAGCTCTATATGGTTGCCCTCGACGGTCACGACTGACCGAGGACAACAATTTGAGTCCGCATTATTCTCCTCACTTACTCGGCTGCTTGGTACGGAACGCATACGCATTACCACCTACCATCCAGCTTCTAATGGTTTAGTTGAAAGGTTTCACCGCCAACTTAAAAGTGCTCTTCGAGCACAAGAAAACGACAATTCGTACGAAACCTTACCACTCGCCCTCTTAGGTATTCGAACGAGCTTGAAGGCAGATATCCAATGTTCCGCCGCTGAACTGGTATACGGCACGACAAGCTGGTCAAAAAGTCTCTTCAACGTTACTATTACGAGGTTTTCCCGGGAGTATTTTTTGTCGCATTCATTATAAGAGTTTGGAATATAGGATGGAAAAACTACTAAATCTTTTTCTACTCTATAAACCTCTAGATAATAGTTACCTGAGTTGTTCGCGTAATCCGCAACATGTCTCAGATGGACCACTTTACACTTTGAAGTGTAGAAAGGAAGCTAACTGTCATCCGCTCAACTCTGAAATCGAGTCATATCCTGTTGGCCTGCTGGCTCATGATCCTGTTTGTAAACTCCTCGCCACAGTGTCGCATCGTCATCTATACGCAATAGCTCAGGCGATGCCTGCGAAGTAATGTCATTTAGGTTAAAAAATAAAAGAGATCCTTGTACTGAGCCGTGGATGAACCCCATTAGAACACTTGCGATGCCCATGTTTCAGACATTTCCATCATATTAGTATTATTGGCATTACTCATTTCACGCAATCCATCGTTTTTCTGTTGTAAACTCTCAGTGCTCACATATAAGCAGTTAACGCTTTCGATTCAAAATGCATGTGTGTCATCGTGCTGTTCGCCTGAATGGAACTTGTTCATATGACCAGGAAAACTTCCCATACAAGATTTTCCGAATATGTAGTTTCTGTCTATTGCACGTTTTGTCAACTTGCTTTTCTGCTTGGTCCTTGCATTATGTGGCCTGTTCAGATATTTAAGGATTCCAGCATGAAAGGGAGGTTTGACTGCACCACTTTTGAGACCAAGATATTCTCAAGCCTTAATGACTGTTTTCTCGAATTCGACTCCCAACTACTTTAAACTGCATTATTGTGGCTCATGTTTCTTGGAATAACTTGGACAGTAATGTTCATTCCGTGCAAGCACATCTCGCGAGATTCCTTGAGGATTA